CTTGCAGGCCAGTGACAAGTTCTGGGAGGGAGGACACAGGGAAGCTTAGTGGGGAGAATGGGGCAAGGGATGGGGAGGATAGAGGAGAAGGGGAGGGAGTTCTGGGTGGTCACAGGGTGCAGGGCTTGTTGTTCCTCTGCAAGAACTTTGGCTTCTCTGCTGGGGGTCAGGGAGAGCCTTCTTTCTAACCCAGAAGGGGCAGGAATATGTGGCTGAGGATCAGCAGCTGCTCATCTGGGCATCAGAGGGTGCTGGGGAGGGTGGTTTGTGTGGTTTCAGAGTTGACAGAAAGGAGAGCTACAGCATGGAGACAGAAGAGGCAGCAGGAGAACTACAAGGCCATCGCCAAGTGACCCAGCGCAGGCACTGCAGGGACTCGAAGGCTCACACTAGTCTGTGCCAACTGAGGGAAGAAAGAGGGCCACTGGAAGGATCCCACGTGGATGGTTTCATTCCTAATAGAACATCCAGGTAGGGTGAAGGCGTGGACAGGAAACGTAAAAAGGTGGGGGAAGGTATTTTACAGGGAAGTTTGAATCATTTCAAAAGATGGGATGTCATGAGGTCTTGCTGTAGGTCAGGATGTGAACAGCATGGAACTGATCTTTAAAATGAATATTGTCAGATATTTGTAGTTCCAAGGGAGAACTACAAAGTTGAATGCCCTCCCATCCCTTCATTCATCCAACTTTCTGGGATTAGGAAGTCCTGGGAAGGGAAGAGCCTCTGCTTCTCCCACCAGGGGATCCCTTGGAGCGCTTTACTCTCTCTGTCCCCTCTGCCCCATGGCAGCATCCTGCCTTGGCCTAAGCAGGCATATCATTGCCTGCCACACAGCATTAAGTTCAGGCATGACCTCACCTAGGGACCTGACCAAGTTTTGACTATTGCAAGTTCATTGGATCTTGCAATTTGTTTGCATGGTATAAATGGTTATCCATGATTAGAACCCACTGTTGGCACTGCTTTGAAGTTTACAGAATCTTTGAGAAAAGGTAATGAATTTGCATTAATAATCTTTTCTAAATTTGTAACTTTTGAACTCTGGCCAGACACTAAAAGCCTGGATGGTCCTTCTTCATCTGCCAAACCAACAGGAATGCTGTCTATTTTAGAAGCTCTGTTTAGAAATAGGTAGAGAGATAGGTGCAATTCCAAAATCTAATGATGCCACAATCTTGGGGGACTTGGCATCGTCCCAGTATCCTTGTGGCAGGGCCAATGGTCCCACAGATATAAAATAAAATATAAATTATAATATAAACATAAAAAATAAGCAGAAAAACCTGTTTGGCCTTCTCCCACCAGGCACAAATTAACCAAAGTGCCCCACCTTTTTGATGTCCTCACAGTCTTCTGCAGTGCAGGGAGGATGTCTGTGGGTAGCTGTGTAAGAAGCAAAGTCTGCTTGTAACTTTATCAAAGCCTCTTCACGCTCCAGAACCTGTAAACAAGAACAAGTCAGGGTGAATGATCGATGCCACGTCTTTTAAAAAA